TCACAGGACCACTTTACAATCACACGCTCTACTTGATTTCACTTCAGATAGCCTGCTATGCTAAAGGGGACACACTGCACTTGCTCTTCTTCTCTGCAACATCTACACCTAACATGTTTCACAGACAGAGAAAAGTTGAATTTTTGCAGTTTGAAGACTCCAGTGATCAGCTGTCTGCTCAGGTTGTGTCTATTTACTCCTCAAATATTAATTTTCTGGTTTCTAGAATGTGTCAGTTTGTGCAGCGTGAACATTATGATCACAAACTAAAACAAAAAAAAGAAACATATTCTGAGCAGGGAAAAACTAATTGCACCCTTAAAGGTTCTGCAGCAGATGTCACCTGGTATCCAAATGAAAACAACTTGTCTTAGTGGAGAAGTTTTATTTTTTCTCAAATTAACTACTACATTAGTAGAAATAAAAAGAAAAAAAATGAAGTTGTGCATGTGAACTTTTGAAGGTTATTGCAGCATTACCCAAAGTGGCGATATCCGTCTGCTGAGAGTTTATTTTCCGTCTGCAGGTTTGAATAACACAGAGCCTCAAATTTCTAACAACAAAAAGGAGGCACTCTGAACTATTTCTTTACTCACAGTTCATATGAATCTGTATGAATACAAACTTATTCATCATTCAAGATAAATAAATGTGTCTGTATCTAAATGTATTGGCACCATTATTGTATTGGAGCCTACTTCTGAGGCGCTATACAGTATGTATACTAACAACAGCAGCTGCGTTTGTTAATAAAATTACACAAAAGTTATTCTTTTACATAGTATAATATTGCAATTATTCTCTTCCAACAAGTGTTTAAAAATAAGTAGATTTTTAAAAAATGACCTTTTAGGCTCCATTTGTCAAAGGCAGCTTTGTAATGTAAGTCACAGCTATCCAGTTAAAGTAAACAAAAAGCCGTTGGTGCTATTAGACGATTAGAAATTAGATTCTTTCACAACAATGTCGATGAAGCTCTTGATGTTCTTCAGTATGTTGCTGTCAAAGTTCCCCAGGAGAACGCTGGAGCCGGCAGCGGTGGGACTGAACTCAATGCTGGCTTTGGCTTCTTGTCTGGCGCCGACAGATCCAATCCTGCAAGAACCATACGAAGGATTCAGTGAGCAACATCTGCCAAAGAGTAAAAGAAATCCTGTCCATATTCCAGTGGGTCCTACACCCATCTTCATCTTTTATTTATTAGATAGATAGATAGATAGATAGATAGATAGATAGATAGATAGATAGATAGATAGATAGATAGATAGATAGATAGATAGATAGATAGATGCATCACAGTCAAATACAGAACAGACACCAACAAACTGCAAATAAGCTGTGATGGCACTTGGGTGGAAAACAGCAGGAACGCATAGAAATCTGCTCCTAGCAGCTGGAACACGTACTGTGCTGTTATGGGTTTGCCGCCAGTGAGGCCGACTCCCTCTATGGTGAAGCTGCAGTCCTGCAGAGGTTCTGGTAGAGGGTTCATCAGGGTCAGTTGGGCCGACACAGGCTTGTTCAGCATGGCTTCTCCCAGCAGCTGCAATAAACAGGTTCAGCATGTAAGAGATGACACAGTATTGCAAATGAGCATAACAGTCCTAATAAACCTGTACAACTCATTAACAAAAAAAATTAAACAAAAAATAGTCGGATAATGGAAAGTTTGTACAATTTCGACAATTTCATTTCACCCAAAGCAACGTACATCTGAGAGCAGATACAACACATTTACTATGGATTCTCCTAAAGTGTAACAGTTTTTTTTCCCCAACATTAATCCTTTTCTTCTTCCACCTGTCCATCCATCCTTACCTTGATCTCTAGCTCTGGCTCATCCAGCACAATGGTCTTCTCAGCCTTACAGAAGTCTATGGTCTCCTTGTCGACGGTGATGGCCGACAGCTGGATGAGCCTGTCAGATGTGATCGCTGTTCCATAACCGTCATAGTCCAGTTTCAGAGACAGACGCCTTTCTAGAAAAAACAAGATGAAAGTAGGCCTTGTTGAACAGAGGCAGCCTAGATGTTATTTACACACTGGCTAACTACTGGGTAATCATCTTATTGAGGTCATTAAACCCACAGCTTGGATACTGTGGTGTAAAGAGTTTGTCCAGAGATCAGCGCTAACCTTCTCCAGAGGGAATCTCTATTTTGTCCGAAGCAAATCCGCAGCTGTCTCCTAGTTTTCCGTTGTAGCCGACTGCTCTGGCAAAGAGGAGGAAGTTGCAGGTTCTGTCCTTCATGTTGTTGTTTTTGAGGATGGCGTGCACTTCAAAGTCTGAGCCCACGATCATGTTGTCAGCCAGTTTGATCTTAAAAGAGAATCATAGGGTGACTTTTTAAAATTTAAGGGAAGGACAATACAACAGAAAAATGCAAACAATATATTTCAAATATTGTGTACATATAGACCAGAACTGTCTGTTTAACCTTCTGAACCCAAAAACCTAATAGCAGGTATTACCTTTTTAAATAATCCCAACATAAAACTGGTCATAAAACTGTCATAAAACTTCTACTTTCCACCACTGTGGTCCACACAGCAGCTTCCTGTACCGGTTACAGCGACACGAATCCAGCTTCATGATCATCAATTCACACACTCTCAAAAAGAAGAAGGTCACAGTCTGGAGCTATTTAAACAAAAAATAGGTTCTTCTCTCTTTCTGCACTTATATTTTGTACTTTAGTGGCACTCAAAGCGCTTTACAATGTTTTCTCATTCACCCACATTCATACACCAACGGCAACAGAGCTGCCATGCAAGCCTGCCACTGAGAGCAACTTCAGGTTCAGTGTCTTGCCCAAGGACACTTCGACTGTGGCGGTGGCGGGGATCGAACCGCCAACCTTACAATCAGAGGACAACTGCTCTACCACCTGAGCCCCAGCCGCCCTAACTTCTTTATTACTTTTTGGTTCTCTGTTCTCTGTGATCAGTCTTTTCTCCGTTGATGAACTGTTATTTTGAGGGTCGCGAGCTGAACAGTTAGGGAACCCCTGCTGTAGAGAGCCGTGGGGGCCTATTTTTTATTATCTCTCGCACAAATGAAGTCATTTTCACTGATATATGGAGATATGCTAAATTCAGACATGTTAACAGTATTTGTTCTACCTCCTGTATATGCATGGACAGTAAAAACAAAAAACAAACCTTGAGGTGGAACCCTGGTTCTTCTCCTCGTTGCTCCAGCTTGTTGCGGTGTTGGGCCTTCTCATACACCTGTCTCTCCTCTTTTGAGCCTAAAAACCAACACGATTCCAAATACTTTAAGTTAAATTTAATAGACTCATGCAACAAGACCATAGATTTTATTTTCCTGTCGGTGCAAAGGAAACCACATATTATGTCTTTGGGGGCAAAATGTCGTTTTTTTGCACGCTGTTTCAGGAAAATGCATTCCTACATTTTTAAATTCAACAGTTAGTCACGTGTCTCTTGTGGACCCAGAAAAACAACAGGATTACATACACAGCTACACATGGAGTAGGTGCAAAGCTATTAGAAATCAGCATTGTGGAAAAGCACACTGACAACGCTTTACTCAAAATGTTAAAGATCCAACATGCATCTTTTTAGATACACATAGATAAGTTTGCACATGGGACTCTGTCGTACCTTCTGGATATTTGTACTGGTGCGTGATGTCGTGTCTGTCATTTGAACCCACAGCTTTGGTGCTGATAAATTGTCCAACAGACTTTGTCGATCCGCTGAACTTGACGAACTCTCCATTTGCCAGGCGCACCAAGTCCACAACGTCTGCATTAACCTTAACCCAAAGACAAAATACCAACAAAAGTACTGATTATAAAGACATTAGATGCAGCAGGATGGAAAAATGTATTGAAAATGATCAAAACCATGATATGGCCAAATGCAAATTCAAATTATAGGAGCTGTAATTTTTGATATAGCTAAAATGTACCATAAAATAACATTAGAAACAAAACATTGTGTTGCTACAGAGATGCAAAACCTACAAATCATCTTCTCCAGAGATAAGGGAGCATGTTTGTTGTCAAAATATGATTTTTTTTGGCATATTGTTCAACCCTGTAGTGCACTGTTAAACAGGCATTCAAACTTGAACATTAAAATTTTTAACACAGGAAGAGACTCTTTTTTTTAATACATACAGTAAATACACAAACACAGTATTTCATTAAATGTGTATCAATAGTTAAACTACTATCATAGATTTTGAATAAAACATGACAATCCAGAGCTTATATATAAACTTACTTACATATAAACATGTACATTATTTGTAATTTCCTTTAATCTGATGTGTGAGCAAAACTCACCTCAGCAAAAATAAAGGGTGCATCATACTTCTTGGTCAGCTCTCCTTCCTTAATGGCCTTTAGTGGAGCAGGTCCACAACAGAAAACACCTAAAAGCATCACACATGCAGGAAATAAGAAGATTTTAGGAGGTTGTTTTGCTGTTAGCAAGATGATACAAACAGGGAAGGGGCCATAATATTGCCTAATCAAGCTTTTGTAACCATTTAGCACCAAAACACATCTGGATAACAACTTTTTATATGTGTGACAATTAACAGACCCCCAAAAGAAATGAGTTGTGTCAGGATTAATAATGAAAATAAAAGTGAAACTTTTTTTCCCCTGTCCTCATGTGACTTGAGCCATGTGAAGATGCCAAACACAAGTGACCACAAATCTGAGGAAGGTCCGTGACCTGTGACTACTGTCACATGATAAAACTAACCACCGTGGTCAATCATGGTAACTTCGCTCGCAACACACAATGACTCATCTTTATGGGAGTTTTGATGTAATTGCCACTGGAGTAACTTTCACCTTCACTTGTCTCCTGAGGGGTCGGATCGCTGGCTTGCCACCCATCAAACTCCTGCCCCAAGTCTGGACGAGTCATCCAGCTATCCACCCAAACATGGAAGTTCCTGGAAAAAAAAATTAAATTAAAAAAAGGACAATAATAAGACTATTTTGCTTTAAACCGCGAAATAATTGATGCTCAAGCCTCTGAACTGTAAAACCTTCCAGCGGGTTTGACAAGCATGTTTTAAACCACCAAAATTATTAATGAATAACCATTTACCAGAGCTTCTCATGTGTAACATAAATAAAGAATGTAAAAAAATAAACAACATATAACATGTAGAGTCACCTTTTCTTCATTTTTTTACAAAATAATACACTGAACAAAAATATAAACGTTGCTCACATTTTTCACGCGCTGAACTCAAAGATCTGAGACTTTTTCTGTGCACACAAAAGGTCTTTTTCTCTCAAATATTGTTCACTGATTTGTCCAAATCTATATTAGTGAGCACTTCTCCTTTGCTGAGATAATCCATCCACCTCACCGGTGTGGCAGATCAAGATGCTGATTAGACAGCATGGTTATTGCACAGATGTACCTCAGGCTGGCCACAATGTAAATGTGAACTTCTACTGTTCTCCTTCGCATAGAGTTGATCAGGTTGTTGATTGTGGCCTGTGGAATGTTGGTCCACTCCTCTTCAATGGCCGTGTGAAGCTGCTGGATATTGGCTACAGGGTACTGACATGTCCCGTGGTCTGATGAACTGTTTGGCCATAATGACCATCGTTACATTTGGAGGAAAAAGGGGGACACTTGTAAGCCTGAGAACACCATCCCAACTGTGAAGCATGGGGGTGGTAGCATCATGCTGTGGGGGTGTTTTGCTGCAGGAGGGACTGGTGCACTTCACTAAATAGATGGCATCATGAGGAAAGGACATTATGTGGAGATATTGAAGGAACATCTCAAGACATCAACCAGGAAGTTAAAGCTTGGGTGCAAATGGGTCTTCCAAATGAACAATGACCCTAAACATACCGCCAGATTAGTTACAAAGAGGCTTCAGGGCAACAAATGTTTTGGAGTGACCATCACAAAGCCCTGATCTCAATCCTGGAGAAAATTTGTGAGCAGAGCTGATAAGGTGTGTGGAGCAAGGCAGCTTATAAACCTGACTCCAGTTGCACCAGTTCTGTCAGGAATGGGCCAGAATTCATCAGACTATTGTGACAAGCTTGTAGAAGGAAACCCAAAACGTTTGACCAAAGTCATACAGTTTAAAGGCAATGCTACCAGATACTAAGGAAATGTATGTAAGCTTCTGACTTTGAAGAAATTAATAAAAAAATCTCTAAAAAAAAAATTCTCGCTCTCATTCAACAAATAGAAATAATTTTGGTGATTCTAAAAGACCTAAAACAGGAAAAGTTCAGTCTGATTTAATGTCAGACGGTGAGACTCACCACACTGAATCACTGGAAAGGCTTTCACCATCTATACTGAACAGGTTTTCTATCACCAGGTTGGCGTCGGTGTCGTGAGCCGATCCAAAGTTAGTAACCACTCGACACGGGATGCCCAGGGCACGGGACACTGGAGGAGGGAGGAGAGCAACACTACATCACACAGCCTCACCAAAGCACATACTTGAGATAACGTCTGTCACCAGAGATAAACAATGAAGACATCACATCAAGTGTCAAACAGGGCAGACGGGAAGCGACGAGATTAGATTCTAAATTTAAAGTTTTTGGTTAAACGGCTGGGATGGTTGGATGGACAGTATTTTAAGAAACTATAAGAGTAACATTGATTTTTTTTTTTGTCTACATATTTACTATTAAAACTACATTCAAACATATGACTATTATGTCAAAGCTCAAAAGCTTAAAACACATAGAAAAAGGGAATAAATAGGTGGAAATGAGTGTCTGAATCAAATCTAATGGACTTCACAGTTTGTGTCCCAACCTGTGCATGCAACAGCAGCAAACACCCAACACTGGCCGTAGCGGACCGGACCGCTTTCTGCCCACTGACGCAGAATGTCGCCGCTGCCGATCCACGTTCCTGGATGGACCCCACCTGAAAACTCCCCCCACTCTCCCACCAGCACTCCCCTGTCATCGTTACTGTTGATCTGTGGGCACAGACAGGAGGAAGAGACGACCGTCAGCGAAGACAGAGAGATAAATAGATGCAGTGAGTGGCATATATACGATTTAAATGATCATGTACAAAGTTTTCGGAGGAGCTTTTGGAAATTCTGGAGTTCCAGGTGTCTTTTGTGGGAAAAACTCTTCAAAATGATGCTTGTTTGGAGCAAATAAAGCTCAGCTTCATCAAGCTCAGACAGGTCTTTTGGTGCAAAATTTGGATGGAAGTATGGTGGAGAATTATCTGGCTTTTTTTTTAGGAAATCATTCTCTTTGCTTTGCTCACAGGGGATTCCTGTTTTTCACATAAAATACTGATTACATTTTCTAGAAGAAATGTGATTACTACTACTACTACTACTCCTACCTGATTACATCTATTCCCTTAAGGTGACAGAACATTTAAAAAAACACAGTTGTTTTACTTTGAAATGTGATCAAAGCATCAGTCATGGAAAAAAAAGGTACAAATTAGCACTAATAAATCAGATCACAGGGTTGCCTTTAGTGAGGACGAGTGAATAGAGATCATCGTGACATCTTTGTAATGTTGGCTGTGTGAGCACATCATATAACCTGCATGTCGTGCACAGCCTTGTCACGGTTATCAAGGCTGTCTGAAAATAGCTCTGATTTATTCTACAGTGACAGCTACTGAGTTATGACACCACGAGAAAATAGCTCTGGATTAGCTACTTGGACCTGCAGCAGGAATAACATGCTGACAGGCAATCTTTTTTTTTTTTTTTGTCTGTTAATATAACACTCTATTTAAAATGCCACCTGCTTTGAATAAGCAAGCCAGCTTGAAAGAGCAGGTTGCCAGGGGAGGAGGGAAAGTTTCAAAAGAAGGAGAAAAGTTCCTCTATAGAACGGCCAACCCTCTGAATATCAATGAGTTTTCTGCTGCACCATGGTGATCTGCAGCTAATTCACAGGCTGGTTAGATGGCATCTTTAGGTTCCCCATTCTTTCTAACAAAAGCAGACCCACCATGGCGCTCAGCACCCTGGTCACGTAGATGGGATCTCTCCGGCCAGAGCAGTCCTTATCAGCATCGGACACAAATTTAGGGTTGTCATCGAGAATCTTCAAACAGATGTCCAATATTCCTGTTTCAAACTGCAGACAAACAGAGGAGATACTGTCACATAGATGATGAATTGTATAAATTACAACTTCGATGGCTGGATATGAAAACAAAGCTTTGCCTGGTGAAGAAGTTGTGCACATTTTCCTTCGTGCTTGAAATTTTGCGTACCTGTCCAAAGTTCCAGGGCTTCCCCTTGATCCTTGTATGTGTTCCTCTGTACACCTGCCCATGCTGTGCTAAGACATACTCCAGCCTTTTTGTCTCACTGCGCATGTAAACTGCATCTCCTGCAAGTCAGTGCAGACAAAAAGCACACTATGTAAATGTAAACATGAGGACACACGAGTGGCAGGTGGAGTGAAATACCAATTTAACCCCCAAAATAAGTCATCGTAAATCAACTGAAGACAACTTTATGCACTCACTGGAGCACCAAGCATTGAAGAGCAGAATGAACTGTCCTAAGCTGGTCTTCTGCCCATTCTGGTCCACCTCTAGAGAGTAGACCCCGATGGGAGCGTTGGGTGAGGAGGAGATAGACACAGATACAGTCTTTGCAGAGGGATCGCTTGAGGCAGACGCGCTCCACTCAGTGTCCGACGTGGAGTCACTCAGGCTGAAGGAAGCCTTAGTGTCTGATTCTTTTCTGGGTAACGGACCTGGAAAGACAGAAATGGACATAAACAGTGATTCTAAATGCAGATGACAGACATAAATCTTGTCTATTTTTGCCACTAATCAAAGACAAAACCAGATGTACCGGTTTCAACGATGAGCGTGAAGCTTGTTTCACCCGGTTTGAACTCTTTGCTGCCAGGTGACAGGTGCAAAATAACGCTGAAGGGCTGCCCCCGTCTGACAATCAAGCGCTCCTCTCCATACAGCTCGGTGTGATGGTTTCTGCTGTTGCTCTTAACGTCCAGGTCGCAGCGCTCGATTTCCAAAACTGTGTGCAGACGGAAAGACAAAACAGCTTGTCAACTTAAAGCTGTGAAAGTTTGATTTCAAAACTTGATGACTTTATTAAAATTTGATCACCTGCTCAAAGCTTCCTCAGACTATAAATCACAGAGAATTTATCAACAAGACATTCCTCGATGCAGATTCAGTGTTACTCAATGTTCCAGATCTGAGCTATCTAATGTCAGCCACCATTCCTACTCATCACATTTCACTCATGACTTTCAATCCGATACTTCTTCAAAGCAGTCAGACCCTGAATTAACGCGAAGAAACTGCATTTTAAAAAAGTCCACAAGTAACTCCTGTGCTACAATACAACACAGACATAGATGTTCTTTCTTCTTACCTCCACTCATGTCTGCAGTGAAGTTCTTGTCCCTTGGCTTCAGTGTGGAAAGTGACACTTCAGCTGCAGCCTGGTGCTTATTGGATAATGACCGTGCAGCGAGGCAGCCAGGGAGGGTATATTTGTGGGATGTGAAACCCGATCAGGACGCCCCCATCTGTCTAGTACTCACATCAGTAATTCTGTTTTTAGTCAGGAAGGGCACAGAGACTTACAACACTCCCCTTCCTTTTAATTGGACTGTGCAATTTAAAGCTGTTGTGAAAGATTTCTGCTGAAGATAAAAACTTTCACTCAAACAGCAACTGGCTGGAAGTTTGTACCAGTCAGCAAATGTTATGACCAACTCCCCAGGGAAAAGGGAAGTAACATAAGACCCCGATATGGTGGGGTATTTTAAAGTTATTAACAAAAGTAAGGATTTAACAATAAACACAAAAGTGAGGCAAATAAAGTCTAAATGTGAAAACAAAAGGAGACTCTAAGCTAGAGTTTAAATTGCTATTATGCAGAAAAATAAAATGAAAACAGTCTAACTAATCCAAGAGAGATGAAGCTACTACTACGGTGCGTTCTGGCAAACATTTCTTGAACTCTTCAAGAAGAACTAGTTCATGGAGTGTATTCTAATCAGTTGCTTTGCAAGCTTTTCCATCGCAAACTCAACTTAAGTTTGTGCTGAGACTTTCTGGTGGTTCCTACATTTTTGCCTGTAAGCTTCTGGGACCAGTTCACGAGCATGTAGGATTGTCAATTTAACACTTTCAGAATTTCAACTCTCCTCTAAGCTTCTTGGTAGCTTTCCCATGAATTTTGCACTGAAGCAGAAGTGGCCACACATCATAAGGCCACTGAAGTTCAGAAGCAAAACACTCAAACGCAGCAAAAAAAGCTGTCAACTTCACTATCTCTGGCCATAACAGTAAATTAATGAACTCCGTCTATGTTGCGTTTTGTGCAAAAGAATGTAAATGCAAAAACAAAACCAACAGCATGAGTGTTTTCATAAATTATTTATACCATATATTACTGTAGGATTCAACATAAACAAAATGATAAATTACAGTTTAAAATGCAAAACAGAAACACATTCTTTAATCTTGTAAAGCAGTAGAATATGTCACCCGTTTTTTTTCTCGGGTGAACTTGACGAGTCTCTCAGTTTAACTACCTGTGCAGTTTCTCCTCATTCGGTTTGCAGATCAAATGCACAAAACAGTTCAAGAAAGACCGAACACAGAAGAGTGAAATGAATTCAGTGAGACGAGCACAAAAATAAATGATTTTTTTGGGGGGCGTAGAGTTGCGTCACCAGGAAATTGTTTAACCCCTCAAACAAACACCCCAAAAAGGGCCTTTGATGGTCACTCATACTGGCACGTTTTGCAATAACAAGTACAAACCGCCATTATGCAGGGCACCACTGATGCCCCAACACCGCGTAAATGGGGCAAATTAGGCAGTTGCACAAATACCACTCCATCCTTTCTTGTTCAAATACTCAGACGCAAGTGTGTGTAAGATGTTATTATATTTAATAAATGATTAGGTTTGATCAAGCACAATGGCCTGCAGCAGATCAGCTCCATAGGCTTCTTTGACGTCCAGGGTTGCCACTGTTGGAGCAAAATAAACTTTGCACACGATTGCAATTCAATCTTTCGCAATAAATCTCCGTGCAAGTCGTCCGTCTGAGGAGGTATCGTGTCTGAGGCCATAAGGAAGTGGAGCATTGCCACAGTTTGGTGCCAAATCCTCATATTACTGCAATCAAGTCCTCAGAGTTCAGAGGGAAGAAAACCACAAAGACCGCACTGACCCTGCGTGTGAATAATCAAGTCATAATTATTCAAATAACAACACAACAGAAAAGAAAAAAAGCAATAAAGAAATCAATAGAAAACTGAAAAAAAAACAAGAATTGGCCATGTCATAAAAAGTTAGTGGCTTTGAAAGAAAACAACCTGAAGTCAGTATTCACTCAGATATTCCTGCCATGATTTGTGTACTGTTCATTTTGCACAGACAATAAAATAAAATCACAAAACTTACAAAACCCTTTCATGGTAACTTTAAAGCTAAAATAAAAACACATTTAAAAAGCCTTCAAATAATCAGAAAAATCCTTTTCCATCAAGGTGAAGCTGGTACATTGATCAGTATAGAACCATTAGTGGACCCTAAATAGCAGCCAGTGGTTTTTGCCTGCAGGCTTGTTGTCTTGTAATGTGTGTCTGTTAGTGTGCAGTCGTTTGTGTTGCAGATTGTGATGATGGTAACAACACAGTCTCTCAGGGTTTTGTCTCTCTGCATTAGATGCAACTCAAGATAGTGGTCTGTCCCTTCAGATAAAACATTAAAAAGAAAAAAAAGAAAGAAAAGAAAACAGTCGCAAAAATCTCCTAAAATGAAAAAAGAAAATCTTCATATAAAATTTCTTGAGTAATAATCGCTCCACCTCCAGACAAGCATGTTTCTCCATGTATGGCCACAAGTTCTGAGTCTTCAGCTCATCCCGGGCTCGTGGCCACTGCACAACTATTCACTCCAACTGCATCTCCGACTCCATTAATCTTCCGCTGTGACCTTGTAACCAAAACAAAGCAGTTCAGCTAACAAGAAAAGAATGATACACAGGAGCTTCTGAGGCAGCCAGCAGATGAAAAAGACCATGAAACAATGAACCAAAGCGGTGGACTCTGGATACAGACGCTGGTCCTCTGTGTTTATGAGCTACGGATCTCCACGACATAAATAAATAAAAGCTTCTCTTCTTTGATCCCCGCTATGTATAAAACCGTACACACTGTACAGGACAGATGATCCCACAGAATAAATGTAAAGCCTTGACCACAAACTGCATCACTTTGTGTTACCAATTGCTTTTCCAACAGCTTTTAAACAGTTATTAACAGTGTTGTTTGTAGATAAGTCACATGTATTGACAGGAGACACAGCTAAGCATTTAAAAACATGGTTAATTTACTGAACACTTCAGAAATAAAAAATGTTATTTTTCAGGAGGGCAAACTGAATTTTTGGTGACTTAATGTGTAGCAGCAGATAACATAACCCGTATTCTGAGCTGCTTATTCTCAAGACATCAAAGTAAAAGTAGCTTTTAAATGTATTACAGATGTAACAGCGAACACAAAAACAGAGTTCGGGAAGATGATTCTGTAGGGAGAAATGACACACTGCAGGCAAAGTCTGTGTTGCACTTCATAATAAATGTGACATAATCCATGCAGCAGTGTGCTCTTCTCTCTTGCATGGTTCAGTCATGTGATCAACACCACCACATATGAATGACTGAGGTATGATGCTGGCACACCAGACCGCAGCAGCTTCAGTAAATCAGGAAAGTCTTGTGACCAGAAGTTGCTGCCTTGTGGCCGTGTGGCCACGCAAAATGATTTTTTTCCACTCAGGTGATCCGTCCATCTGCAGGGCGACCGGGTGAGATCCAGCAGCTCATCGCTAATCTGCAACAATATGTAAAGCACAAATTACTGTTACTGTGGGGGCTCATTGATAATAACATTAATCACCATCAGTTTATATGTAGCTTCACACAGCAGGATTAAAAACTGAAAATGAAAATGCACAATGACAATAAAAAAATGCTTTATTTACATTTAAAACCATAAAACCAACGGGAAAAAATATAAACAGCAACAACAAAAGCTTGAGAAATTACAGGGGGTGTCACTTCAGCTTTATCTGACAAGCTTCCTGAAGTTAAAAAAAAAAAGATCTCTTCATTTGTATTTTGTTATCATACAGTGGGGCTTGGTTTCTTTATTTCTTTAGAAATTATTAATAATGTCCCACATGCTTGTATGCACCACCACATGCACTCAAGTTACATTATTATTTTAGAAATGAAAATTTAGAAAATTAAAAAAGAAAAATAAAATTAAAATGGTCCTGATTTTTATACTTTCACTTGAACCCTCTGAACCTTAAGACATTTCAGGCAGTTCCTTTGTTCCCGTCACATTCTTCCTCATTCTGAGCTCAGTTCTTACTGCAATAAAAAAAAGTCCTGCACCTCAATGGAAACAGCACCACAACGGCTAGAAGAATGTTTTTTGTGCAGGATAACACAGCTATAATGCTATCAAATGCTCATCATAAAAAAGTTAAGCTTTTTTTAAAATGTATTTTACAAATTGGAAAACACCTGGTATTAACATGTTCAGCATTTGTCCAGGTGTGGACAGGTTTTACCAAGACTGGAATTAAACGGTGGCTCTACATACTACAGATTATTTACTAATTATTTATTTATTCTTTTTTTTTTAACTTGTTTTCTATCTGGTCTGTGTAAGAAAAAAAACATCCTTCATTTTCACATGAACAAAGCTTTAGCTGTGAAGTCATGACTTTATGGCTGCAACAAGGAGCAAAGACTTTTTGGATTTTGACAGAACCTGGTTAGTGCAAATTGTTAATTTTTGGGGGCAATTTCTAACTAGACATGTGGATTTAGTTCATTTTGCTGATGGATCCAGAAGTTAAAGCCTGCTGGCAGGTTCTGGGGTTCAGAGGGTTAACTTCATCTACATGTTAATGAACACTGCATGTTTACCTTCTGCTGAGGATCCACGGTTAAACTTCTGTTGATTTCCCGATTAAAATTTCATCACCCTGCAATGCAAGATAAAGAATTGGTTAATAATGTGGATTCTCACTGTTGGAACATTCCTGTCTTCTGTGTGCTACTGGATCTGGATTCCAGATCGTTTAATATCAGATTGTCAAAGGCAAATTAGCAATTGATTGATTTTGGAAGTTCTTTCCAACTTTGTCCTCTAATTAATCCACACATGCCATAAATGACCTGCTCTGCCATGCGAACAAAAGCTACCTGACAAATTTCAGCACTAACACACATTTCCAACCTTCATTATCTTACCTTTGTTAACATTATCACAGTAATAACATAAGACTGAAGCCTTTGTCTTCCACTCATACAGCAGTTCACCAGGTCACACCATCACTTTCACCTGAGCCAGCTGTGGAGGTTTGGAGGTGATGCCCGGCTTCTTCCTGGAAGCTGCTGGTGAGTCGTTCCTCCTCAGGCTGGGGGTCCGACAAATAGGTGG